GGGGGGGGGGGGGGGGACACACATGTGCATTACTGTAGGTAAACATCTACTACTGATGATGCTGTAGATTACACAAATTCAAGATGGCTGCCAAAGCTAACTAACATTAGCCTACATCAAAATAGCTGCTAAAAGTTGATGTGATGTATTTTCAAAATTTGACCAGAACAGCTACAACTGTCATTTCTCAGCAACCATCTAAATGTAATTTCACGAAAAGGAACGGACGACATGCATTCCTTTAAGGATCATTAGGCCTTTAATCTCTGTTGGTTTCACAACACACAGGGTTACATTTGAGCTAAATATGACATTGTAATGTTTCATTTTGTCATTCCACATGCATAAAAAAGGCTCTGTGGGATAAACAGCCCTGGATCTCTGTCAGAGAAGTTTGGACATCTTAATGGGACGAAGATGCAGCTCTGGAGTTGAACAAAAGGAGGCTGTTTCTCTTAAGTCCACGCCTCCTTCCCCTCTCTGGTCCAAATCCATTGAGAGCTAGCAATTTGGGCCATAAACACACTGAGGAATGGCAGCTTGCCATTTCTTCTCAGTCTGAACTTAAAGCATCAAAAGGCCTCAGAGAATCGCTTTTGTCATTTTGAAAACAAGGATGACACTCATGACACCATCTGGAATTCATTCAGCTCCAACATGTACATCAAATGTAAAGACAGAGTCATTTAAGGAAAACAACTCCTCCGAGGACGGACAGCTTTCTTAACGTGGTCCCGCTCGTAAAAGCACATATTCCTTTCGGTTTTTCTTTTTCCAATATGAACGGGTCAAAGAAAGCCCCTGAATGAAACAGTGCATCGTCTGTATCTTATCACATGAAGAAAAGCTTCTAAACAAAAAAACATGGAGAGCCAGACCACATTCCCTTCAAAGAGTCTCCAGAACGGCTGTTGTCTTGGGGAGGGTGGGATGGGGGTGTCTGGTCCTCATCATTCTGACAATAAAACTTGAAGAGTTCAAACAAAGAAAAGTTTTGTGTAGGGGCAGGTTTCCACTGCCCTCTGCTGTCAACCCAACAGCCAAAGGAAAGCAGAGCAGCGATTCAAAGAGGAGAATAGGAAAAAGCTTTCGGGGGCTGAAGGCATCCTGGGTACTCTGAGCAGGGGGCCGGAGGGACATCTTTCCTTAAATGATTATGCTGGCTGCTTTACATTTATATGGTGGTGGACATCTTGGATTCTGACCTAGGGGTGTGTTTGGGGGTGGGTGTATATAT